CAGAATGATTCAAAGATTAGTGACACAGAGACTGGAACACAAGAGCTACTCAACTACGAAAAGCCTCGTTAATATATGCATTTCATAATGAGATCGATAACACATTTTACATAAATGATATTAGTCTCTACGATCACAGTTGCAAGAGTCATTAAACTTTTACCTCTCAACATTCGCAGGTGTGGACATTTGTAGATCGATTGTAAAAACTTATGGAAGCATGGTATTCAAAAACTTTAAAAACATTTTTGTAGTAAACTTCATGTGCTGTCGATTGATGAAAAGAATATTTCGTTGTATTACTTCATCTGCAAAATATCAACCTTATAAAATCAATAGTTTTGTAAGAAATTGAGGCTTTTTAAAACATATTTTTCGCTTTCTATAGGTAATAGATCTATCGGAAGCATTTTATCTGATTTATATCTATGAACATGTCTACTTGTGAATTGACTGTGTTTCAAAAGCTTTGCAATAGTTACACTGATAACAGACGATAAGATTGATCTCGGGGCTTGCATCCGTCATTGGGGGAATGGAGAGAAATAGTGTACAACGTGAATATATTTTTTGTAAATCTTATCATATAAGAAGTTAAAATAATATTTAACATGGATCTGATGTCCGTAGTGATCGGTTTATTACTTAATGAAAGTAACGTGTTTTTTTAAAGATGTGTGCCAAAAAGTACATATTTAAAAACAATAAAGTTTTTATATATTAGACCTTTCTATTTTCAGATGAATCGAACAAAGTAGAATAGATTTTGTTTCTGTCTACTCAACTCGTCATAAAAGAGGAAAAAAGTTTGATTTTTCAAATCGTTCAAAACTCCTTCATTATCCGATAGTCATTTGAGTAACAAAACTACTCCGCACGATGGATTGAGCGTTCGGTCGATCTACTCATACTATTGACATATTGAGAGAACCTACACTCTATTTGTGTGATTATTTTATCAGTGACTGTTATGAAATTACTTGGAATTAAACTCACTTTGAATAATTGATATTAGCAACATATGAAATATAGGGCTAGTGTAGATTATTTAAGCTTTTCCATCAACTAAAATTCGAGAGTTGATGCTCGAATTTGAATTGTTCTTACATAAAATCTGTTCTCCTTTTATCTAAATGTTATTATAGTCTAGCATGAATCTTTTTGTGAAACTCATCTCTCATAAAAATAGAATATACATTTGACATTGATTTCGTACATTTCTCTCCAAGTTCTATATCACCACATCATGTACTATAATGTCACTGACAATTATACAATGTTGATTCTATTGTAAATTTTATCAAAATAAAACATTTTGTCTTGCCAATAAGCTTCTTAACCACTAAAATGATCAATACGAAGAACATCGACTGTTTACAAGGATTTTTTCAAACATTTTAGGGTGTGGGTGTGGGATGTAGGATGTGAAATTAGTCACAATAACCACATTCACACCAACAATCATGTCCGCATCCGAACCCACATCCTTACGGTCAAAGCTCATCGCATGATAGGACTATTTCATTGATTGGCAAACCATTCCGTGATGAACTCTTTCGATGGCTCTATCTTGGCTTAAGATTACTTTTGTCCAGGAGTGTATGTTGATCTCAGCAAAGAATAGAACAAAACATGATATAAGACAAAGTAGAACAAAACTGTGTGGAAGCATCCGGTCTTTTTGTCAAGAACAAAATTTTGCTCTTCTCGAAAAATGATCCATGGCATGCTGATATTTCTGCATGTTTATATGTAATTTGTTTTTGTTATTTCTGAAATAAATGAAAGAATATCAAGGACAAAAATAACAGATAGAATATTTCTAGGATTACTTTAGAGAAAAAATAAATGATGTGCACAAAGATTCAATTACCTATTCTTAAGCCGAGAAACAATTTAATAAAAAACGATAGGACATATTTGTTTCGATTTATTTGCACTTGTCGAAGGAAGAAAAGAGGCATAAGAAGCATGCATCGTGGAGTTGTTTTATATATTCTGATTTCATCTATAAAGTTTATCAGTGGAACATTTCAATGCACAAATGATGGTATGTTTGCAAATCCCGATGACCATCACGCATTTTGGCATTGTGCGCATGGTGCTGGTTATCTAAAACATTGTCCAGCCAGCTTAATTTGGTCACAGGTACAACAAAACTGCATTTGGAATGGTAAGTATCTCGAACAGTTTCTTAAAAGTACTTCTGCGTAAATGTCTTATTTCAATAAACTTATTTAGTTTATATGAAAAACAACTTGTTAGACGTCTAAAAAAAATTCAAATTTCATTCATATCCACTCAAAAATAATTCATTGCATTGAAAATATTCGAACTAAAACACGATAATGATTGTAAATGATCGCTGAAAGAAATGTTCTATTTTTTCTAATTTCAGTGCCGGAACCAACAATTACAGTAACAACAACATTATTAACGACTACAGAAACATCAAGTGAGTTTTTTAAAAATTTGTTCTAGAATGCAACAACTGATAGGATTTACTGTTGTTGATATATCCCTATGTACAATATTGGTACATTTAAATCTTGAGATAATTAATAAATCTCCAACTAGTCCTGTAAGAAATAAATCCTAAAAACACAAGGTCCCGAGAACTCTTCATTTACGAAGTGACCACCAAACAATCATAAATTGTGAGAAAAAAGCTTTAGGGAACTTCTGGATCATCTGGTTCAGCATCTAATCATAACTCAACACGAAAGCTTTTAGACAGTCTCATTGAAGAAAATGCTTCTGAAAGGTTCACAAAGATTTTAGTCAAATTTTGTTATTTTTACAGGAAAAATTGAATTACCAGCAAGAAAATTTTTTAAATATTTTGTTTTTCGATTCTCATTTGTATCACTATTGTAGAATGATGTTTCATTTGTTATCTCTAAAAAGAAAATAGAACACCTTAGAAAATGCAAGTGTCAAGGCTTTTTAGAATTCTAGTTGAGTAAATTATAATACGAAACACATGCATACAACACCACAGTGTGGGTCTGAAGTTTTCGATGTTTGACAACCAAACCGACGTTAGCTATTTAATTACATCTGTGCACTTTATTACATTCTAGCAACAATGCCAATGTCAAGTTTTCTTCCGCCTCAATGTTCGAATTACACATCAATAACGGATGGCACTCGTCGCACAAATAATATAAATCTTGGAGCTCAGAGTGATAATTCATATTTTAGCAAGACGCCCACATGGGTACGGTTTGAGGGTGCTGCAGGCACTCGTCTTGCCAATTATTCAGTTCCTTCTCCTCGTTGTGGATCAGAAGGAGCTGGATGGCTTAAGCATCCTACTGAGCCAACAGTAGGAGAGACGGTGAACCAAACGGTTTGTTTTAATTGGAGTGGCATGAGTTGCATTTGGCCTATGAAGATTTCTGAGACCAATTGTCATGATTTCTTTGTCTATGCACTTGTTTCTCCGGCCCTTTCTGAAGCTCGTTATTGCACTATATAAACTCTTGTTGTCGAAATAAACAGACAGCTATTGAAAGCATAAAAGATCGTGAAAACAGTTTGATCATTTTTATGCCATTTATTTAATATGTTCTTAATCTTGACCGATCATGCCAATTTCCATCAAATGACACATTTGACTTTCGAAATTTAGATTCAAATAATAAGCTACTATGATTTTGTGTTTAACTGCAGAATGAGTTCTGTTTGAAAGTCATACAGTAGAACAATTAAATGAGGATTACTAATGGCACTAGTTGCTGTAAAAATGATTCTAATTCATATGGTGAAAGAAGTTGCTAGTGAAATCATCAAAATCCGTTTCGAAAAATATCTAATGTGATTATTTATTTCCTAGGCTATTTGAAATCATCAAAATACTAGGAATATGCTACGCAGTTTGGTTCTTTCATTTCCACGTAATAAAGCATATACTGCCAATAAGTTCACTTGTGTGTCACAATTATTTTGTTCATCACAGAGTGCTAAATTTTCAGTTATAGTAATGTCTTATCAGTAGTGAACAACCAATGATTTTTTCAAAATCTATCGAAATTATCAAAATATATGCACAGAAGAGTGGAGATATATTTGTTTCAATTCTTGATTTAAAATATATACCCACCGATGAAGTTTTACCTACTACTGAAAATAAACCTGTCTGAAGACGATTCATGTTGAGTTTGCTAATTTTTTTTGTCTCATTCTTTTTGTTCTTGCCATTGAAAGAGACAAGTCGATATCACGTAGTATCTGTTCTCCATTTTGAATATATGAAATTCTTGAATTAGTTCCGTTTTGGATTTGTAAGTTTTACATTTGACCCTCGAATGAATAAAATTTCATGATCCGATGAGATATCATTTGATTCATTCCAGGAACCGATTCAACCTGTATTCAATATTTCATCTGATTCAATATCTTGTGAACGAATTGTTTTTCAATTGATTCCGACATGGTAATAGAATGTTCGACAAATAAGAATTAATAGGAAAGTCCTTCGCGTTGAATAATCGATTCGAATACAGAATTACATCATCAATCATTCGATTCGTGTTTATTGATGTTGACATTGATCAAGATTATACAGACAGATATTTTTTTTTGGTTTATGAAAGAGTACTCTATTTTGATAGTGGAATAAACGATCGAAAAGATACAGCATGAAATCTTAAAGATTGATAGGTTTGCTTTTATTGAGGGAAACCTAACATTGATTTCCTGTTTCCTGCCATCCTTCGCGTACTCTTTCATCTGTCAAAATATATTTATTCTCAATCATGCATTGACCAATTGGGTATTGAACTTCGTATTTGTTTTCAAATAGCCATGTTTGAATTCCGAAACCACTGCGTTCACTTGAGGGTGTGATTGTGATTGTGAGTGTATCTATTAATAATACCCTTAGCCACACCCACACCCACACTTACGCCCTTTTCCATGAATATACTGACGATGAATTCAAGCATTGTATTGTCGATTTATTCTATTGATATGATCGAAATTAACAGATAATGCAGTCTATCTTTATCGACAATTATTGTTACTACGCGGATTGAAGGGCAAAATTCCTACAATATTGTGAGACTCTTGTTTGGTGATGTATAGTAGAACTAATGATTTTAGTCTACTAAAGAATTAAAGAGCTCACATAAACTGCCTACCTTGCTTTGGCGTCGTAACGTGTAATGATATTGAGAAGTTATTACGTTTAAAATGCTTTATTTTGAAATGAATAAAACATAAAAGTAACCAATAACCAAGAATGTAACAATAAAGAAGATAATGAAAAGGATAAAGATGATCAAAGCACCAAGGAAAAACAAACAACAAAAAACAAATCAAAACAGGATACGTTCAAGAGGAGAGAAGAAAACCAATGATAAATGGTAAGCAGAGTTAGCGTCAACAGATGTTACACTATGACGCTAACACATATACGTAGATCTTTGGAAAGGTAATTTGCGTAAACAATAATAACTAGACATCGCTGGAGATAAATTGGGTTGGTTCTAGCTCTGATTTCAACTCTTTTTGCTTTTGTCTTTGACGCTCTGCATAGTTTGTTAAGAGACGTTGCACAACTTTCGTCGCAACAATATCATCTCCATTCTCCCCGAGTAGACGAATGATCAATATACCATCTTGCATCAAAAAGTCTCGAGTAAAAGCATTTAGAGCCTCTTCATTGACCGTCGGAGCACCACTGATTCGATAAAGATATCGAATGAACTTAATGCGAATAGTGAATGAAATAGTATCGATCAATATCGAAACGAATGAATAAATATTGTAGACAAAAACACAGATAAACCAAAACCAAGCAAGAACAAAGATTTTTTCATTGAGCATATTTATTGGTAATACACATTGAACAGAATAGCGATGCACATTTCCAACTTCGCGTATATGAAGATCACACAATGTTACACGAGGAAAATATGGTGAATCAGTCAGAACTGAATTAGCCCTAAAAATACTATGCCAAACGTTGAGACCGTACAACAAACCGGGTTGACCTAAGAATATATTGACCAGTACAAGTTGAGCAAACGAATTGATCATATAGAGAAATTTGACCGTCACTTGAATCGATCGAAGATAATTGCCTAATCGTTTGCCACTTGTACACCAAAATGTACGGCAGAGATGAGTTTGAGAACTGGCATGATGTTCGTTCAGTTGACAGTAGTATTCGAGTGCGCTAACAATTGTATCGACATCTTTCTTGGAAATGAGATATTGTAAATCGAGACCGGACCGTGTATTCATCGAACGCCAAAGCATTCTTGGCAGATAGAAACACATGGCAGCAAATAGAAGAATGAACGATGTCCATTGATAGTAACCAATCTTTGCTCGCGCTCGATCGATCTCACTGTGTGGCAACGAAACATTGCTGGGTATGTAATAAGTACTGGAAACCCAACAGTAATTATTGGTGTAGACCTGATAGGAATCTTTTAGCTGAGCAGGCAGCCAACAGCTGATTGACTTGAAGTCCTATGATACAAATTGACAAAAAAAAAAACGATGTTGAATGAGACCTTCTTGCTTTTCAAACTAGGGAAATTCGTTTTTTTCTATTTTGATTTTTTGGTTCTAAAGAGAAATCCAAGTATTTTCATTGTTGGAAAGATCTTCAAAAAAAAACTCGACTCAAGAGATCCTTGCTACAAAAACTACACTAAAATGTAGTCTGTAAAAAAACTAATCCACAATAGCTGTTGCAGAAAGAATCGATCTTTAAGCCATGCCATAGTATTTTTCACCAAGTTCGTAAAGAATTCAACGATGAATCCAATGGAAAAAGAGCCACAATATATTATGGAATGTATAGGAGAAATTCGACAACTACTGAAATATCGGTTCCTTCTGTTGCAGCCATTGTGGGTTGTTTTTTACAGACAACATTTTAGTGTTATTTGAGGATGTAGCCATTACTCAAAGGCAAGAGATGATAGAACTTTTTTGTGCACATACAGTTACAAAGCGCTTTCAACGTGAATTCTGAATAGGTATTTTTCTACGTGTTTCAAAACATGTTTCAGTTGATGATAAATGGATAACTACGTAGAAAAATAAAAATTCAAAATGTCGTAAAAATGTCATGCTTCATTGTTTCATGTTCTTCTCAAAATGTATTGTTGCAGAGGAAAATCGAAGTTTCCCTCTTTTTCTCTTACATATTATGACCGATTTAGCTCAAACATTTTAATGAAAAATGCGAGCAAAATAGAGTGCACATTTTTCCCTTCAGAAAGTATTGTTTTAGCGAATTTTACAATATGAGGACGAAGCAAAAATCACATTTTTACGTACATGATGGAATGGATATATGAAACAGAGCAAAGTAAAATGGAAAGTGAGTCTTCATTATATCACTTAATATGTTGTATTTAAAAAAGACAAAATTAAAATAAGCTTTATCTTGTAGGTTGTGGAGCTTTTCACGCTGCATCTTGTAGTATATTTTGTTTTTTTAGTACAACGTATTAAGTGATTGAAAAGTGAAATGCAAAGCGTAGCCATTTTATCTACCTCACTCGTTATTTTACATGAAAATCACATGAATATGTTTAAAAATCTTTGCTTCATTCTAGAATGGAAAAATTAGTTCAAACGGATGTTAGAGAGCGAAGATATAAAGATTTTACTGAAAAAAGCTTTCAACCCAAACACCACAGTATTAAAATGCAAAACAGGATAGGGCTACTTCAGGCATAAACAAAAATCCCCTTCATATTCATCGAAGTCTGTGATGGAGCCAAGTGGAAAGTATGTCGAAATGTCCGTTGCGATCTGTTACGGTTAAGTGACGTTGTCGACATGTTTGTCACAATCTGAAGTATAGACTGAGAAACACCAGGGAGAAGGGATCATTGCACATCATGTTTCACAAAATTCGAACATGGTCATCGAATTTGAATCACCCATTCTATTTCGATTTTGGTAATCCTCGATGGACATCCTCACATTC